TCCATTAATATTTAAAGTTATTAATGAAAGATGAGTATTGAATCCTGTCATTTTTATTTCTGTTTACATTCTTGATATAGCTGTACCTTTCCACAGTTATATCTTCATTGGAATTCTTTCCACAATCCCTTGGGAATAGTCATTCCTTTCTTCAGCTCTTTGTATTGCTTCCAGAACTCTCTGAAGGGCTGGTTTTGTGGACATGAATTCCTTCAGCCTATTTATGTCATGGAAGATTTTTCTTTCCCCTTCGACTATAATAGACATTTTGTCTGAGTATAGTAATCTGGGTTGGCATCTGTGGTCATTTAAAACTGGAAATGCTTTGGTCCAGGCTCTTCTGGCTTTCATAGTTTGTGCTGAAAAGTCAACTGTAATCCTAATCCATTTTCCTTTATATGTGACTTGTTTCTCTTTTGGAGCTTTCAGAATTTTCTCTTTGTTTTGTGCATGTAGTGTTTTTACTACTATGTGCCGTGGAGAGTTTCTTTTCTGGTCCTGTCTGTTTGGTGTTCTTTATGCTCCTTGTATTTGTATGGGCATGTCTTTAATTTTGGGAAATTTTCTTCTATGATTCTGTTGAAGGTCTGGTCCACACCATTAACTTGGGATTCTTCCCCTTCCTGTATGCCTATGATTCATAAATTTGGTATTTTTATGGTATCACACAATTCCTGCATATTCCATTCTTGTGATTTCATAAATTTTTCATAATCCTTGCTTGAGTGGTCTAGTTTGTCCACTTTATTTTCCACTCTTGTTATTCTGTTTTCTCCTTCATTCATCCTATTGGTGAGGCTTTCTCCTTCATTTCTAATTGGCTTCTGGCTTACTGAGTGTTTCACTTCCTTCTTCATTTCAACCTGAGTAGTCTTCAATATTTGTAGCTCTTTTCTGAATTCATTCAGCAATTTGTCCCTATCTTCCTTCAGTTCTTCGATTTCTTTGTTTGTGTGTTCTTTAAATTCACTGAATTCTTTTATCATGTTTATAATTGTTCTTTTTAGTTCCATGTACTGTATTATCTCTAGGGGGTTCTCACTGGACTCCTCTAGAGGACTATTGGTGTTTGGTTGGGATATGTTGCTTTGGTTTTTCATGTTATTATTTTTTTCTCTGTGCTTTTGACATGTGAATTTCTTTTGTAGTTTCTGATTCTTGTGTGAGACTCAAGCCTTCAAGTTTAGGTTTGCTTCTTTTTGTGAACTTTATGTGTCTTTGTGGTTCAATTTTGGGCATGAATTGT